CCACACACACACACACACACACACACACACAGGGCAATGGCTACAAAACATGTTATAGGAATTGGATTTCCAGTGCTGGAGCCCCAGTGGTAGCAAAGATTCTGCTACCTGTGGAAATAGAGAGCTGGGCACATCAGGGCGCCATGCTGCTCAGACAGTGGACATCTTAAGTGATAGCCTGCAAGAGACAGAAACTTGAAGCAATTTCAAGAGTACAAAGCTATTCTCAAAACCTGGGGATCCTACCAGCCCCCAGCATGGATGATGAAGGATGGATTCATGATGGCTGGGATGGAATTTCTTGCAGGCCTGGTGGACTGAAGTTGTTGCCACCCATCCTGACAGTAGTGTGAGGGAGGGGGTGAGGACAGGGTCAAAATTAAAACTTACACTTTCATACACAAGACTTGCTGAAGAAGGCAATAGCAATGGACATAGAGAGATGTGAGAAGGTTCTAGATATTTATGAGTAGAATCAACTGGACATGATGAAGGATGGGGTGTGGTAGAGGAGGAGAGAGAAGCATAGGGAAGGACTTCTTGGGCTCTGACTAGGGTGTGCACAGAGGTACTCTCCCCCAAATGGAGGCCACCGAGTAAGCAGCAGATTCCTGGAGGGAGATAAGAGTTTGGGCATACACGGGGCTGGTGGTACCCCAGAACATCCTAGAGGGGGACAGACATTGAGTGAGCCTCGGAGCGAGACTCAAGATGAACTCGAAGGAAAACTGATCAGGCCAGATATGCCGCTGGAGGACTGATACAAGCAGAGGGCACAGAGCAGGGGACAAGCAAGGTCCTAAGAATGTATAAGGACAAGTGCCTGTTGCAAGGATTGGAAAGCCACTAAGAAGAGGCAGAAGTGGGCTTTGAGTGACATCACCTGGCTCTCTGGTCCTGGCTTATAACCAACCACAAGCTGTAAAGCCCCTTGGTCTGATTTCTGGCTCGGATGCTGCATGCCTTGTGGGGTTCCTTTATCAACCTAAGAAGTGGGTAACTGTGAAAAGAACAATCGACATGTATAATCATTCTATGACATTGGAAGAAAAGGCAGGCTTATGAGTAGTCAGATACCTGCTATTCCATCTGTACCATCTCCTCCCACCCTTGCCACACTCTTCAGCATCCCTCCCCCCACCCCACTCATTCTCCCGTGTCCAGCCTTCAAGTATATCTAATATACTTGAACGTGTTTGTGATATCCTTTATTCACCCTGCATGCTTAAAAAAGGAGTCAGAAGAGAGCCATGCTTAACCCAAATGAAAGAGCAGCGAGGGAGCTCTTCCTGATACAGGAGTTATACAGCACACATTCTAAGTCCTTACTCTAGGCTGGCCCTGCATTAAGTGTCAGGGCTTTTGAGACAAATGAGAAGGGGTCCCTGGTCTCAAAGGCAACCAGAGACTAGTGAAAGCGGTAAGTGTTCTTACAATTCAAGCCAAATGTGTATCAATGTACACTTATATTTATATACAGCATTTACACACACACACACACACACACATACACAAAGAGAGAGACACAGAGAGACAGAACAGAGTTGAGCTGAGAGAAGATATGAACAAAGCTACTGAATTGCCAAGAGGTCAAAAAGGGAATTTCACCAAACTTCAGACACTAGAACCCAGTGTTTAAGTAACAAATAATTATAGTCGTTGTGTATTCAGTGCCATTTTTATGCCATGAACTAAATGATTTCTAAGCCCTCTCCTGACAACTACTTTGCAAGGTAGAGTTTTGTATCCCTATTTTATAGATAAGGAAAATTTACCCTAGATTATCTAGCTAGGAAGCAGTAGGACTAGGCTTGAAACCCAGATTTTCCCTAAGCCCAAATTTCACTTTATATAGGAGAGGAGAAAACATCTAACTACGTCAAAAAACAATACCACTTCAATTGCAAACAGGTAGGGTCACAAACCCATCGCTAATGACTGCTCAACATATACCTGGAGACCAGGCAGCAGCATGGCCCTGGAGATGCGAGGAGAAGCAGGAGAAGATTCCAGCCCTCAAGGCTCCCAGAAGAGAGCTGGGGCCAGACAAGGAGCATAGGCATGCCAGATAGACAGCCACGGTTTTCTGGGAGTCTGGGAGACCAGTCAGGAAAGGTTCCTAGGGGAGACCATGTCTAAGCCTGACTGTGTGATGAGTAACAGAAGGAATTAGGCTGAGGAAAGTGATCTTCTAGTCTGAAGACATAGTCCGGAGAATCCATGAGCATCCCAGTCCAGTAACCATAGCTGATGCAGGATGAATGAAATCTGGTCTTTTCAAGGAATCTAAGAAGTGTTCATCTTTTTTGAACAGCCAAGAAATAGAAAAATAAAGGGAACTGGTTATAATAACTGCCTGGCCACTGGATTATTTCAGAAATCAGGAATATGTTTGTACTGAAAGTTCAGTGATTCGGTGAAAAAACCCCAAAAGTTGTAAGGGATTCACTGCTCGAGTCTCTGCAGCAAGAAGCAAGGAACCCAAAGGCAAAATGAACCGTGCACATAGACATGACATCTTACAGGAGCCCAAAGCTGGGAAGGCGTGCTTCCAGACATTTGTCCAGAGGGCACGTTCAACTCCTCCAGGCAGCTCGACGCCACGCTCCTGATTTTCTTCTACACATGAATGCAGTACTACATTCAGGAATAAAGCTATATTTTGTTCAATCTTCTTGACATGTCTTTCTGACTTTTCTCTTTTTCAATGATGGGAGTAGTAATGATATGAACCTTAGAAAAAGCAACATCAGTAGCAGTAGGAAGCATACCTTTAGTGTCTCATACATTCTTCAGAGAATATGTGAGATTTGGAAACATAAAATACAAGTGCATTGTAATAAGGGAAGTCACTCCTGTAAATAACAACTAAAGTGTCATAATAAATGTCTCTGTTTTGATCAACTATTACACATTTGTCTTAAAAAAAAAAATGCAGCTAACAGCGCTCTTTGCAGCCCCCTAGTGGCTGGAACAGGAAAGAAGGAAGAAGGAGGATTCACATAGCAACCCTTACCCCTCCAGGGCCAATCAACTTTTTACACTGGGAAAGACAAATGGCTTGTTTTCACTACCAAATGAATATGTTCTAAGTGAGGAAGATGAAAAGTAATGGTTAAAATGCACATAATTATACACATACACGTGCATCACTGGGAGCCTGGATTTTTTTCTTTTTCATCTTTCTCTCTTATGCCTGCAAAGCTTTCTATTCTGACCTGAAAACTCCGCAATGCATAAGCACACCACGTCCTCTACACAAACAAGCTTTTCCCTTTTCCTCACTTGCTGTGAGCCCCCTCCCCCCAGTTTGCAGACATCTGCTTATAAATATACCATTTGCTGTGCTACAAAGTGATGAAAAATCTTCAAAAACATGTCATTTGCCTGTTTAACAAAGTGCCTACATGGGGAAAGGAGGGCAAAAGGTTTGGAAGCTCATTGTATTTAATTCTTGTTTTTACCAAACAACAGTCTCTCAGAATGATTCCTCATATCAGCGACTTCTTTACCACACTTTGAGAAATTTTCAGAATGAGTTTTTCCTTGTCTTCCTAAAAAAGAAACTGCCTCTCAAGGGTACAGGAGGAGGGGGATGACTGAGAAAAAAAACACACACAAAAAACAAAAAGCTAAACAAACAAAAAAAAACCCGCACGTGCGCTTATAAAAGAGTTTCAAAACCATGTCACCAAAATTTTAAGGTTACAGAATAAACAGAAACTCTGCTCTTAAATTTATCCCTCACAAGTTGTGGGAGAAGCATCCCTGAGGTCCAGGGGCGGAAAACAGTCTATCTCTCACTCTCCTAGCCCTCCAATAGTAATTAAACCTGGTATACACTCTCTCCCTGAGCCACTGGTAAGCTCTAGTTCAAAGCCAGCTTGCAAATCAGGTTGCCTCTAGTACAGGCTGTTTATTTACAGGTGCAAACCCTTCCCCCTCTGATGATGGTCAGACAAGATTCCAGGAACCACGTTCCCCGCTCTCCTCGTTACCTGGTAGATTTGGCCACAACCCCCAAACCGAGCGCACACCCTCCTCGTCAAGAGCGCTGAGAATCAACAAGTTATCACTAAGCTGGGCGCTCGAGCCCAGATCTCCCACTCCCTCTCCGGAGCGCACCACTATCCAGCTCCCTCTCTACTCGTATCGCGCCCCTCCCATCCCGGTCCTGCCAGCACGTGACCTTCCCTTTCAGATGCGCCCCCTGGTTACCCCCAACCCAGAGCTCTCTCCACGCACCCAGACAGGTGTCAAAGTAAGCACTGCTCGCCAGCCTACTGTTTTCTAACAGCGCCAGGCGTTTACCCGGACCTTGCTTCGGTCTGGGAGGGAACAGGGGGGAGGTCAGGATCTCCCACTGCACCGGGTGGGCACCTCGGCCGGCTCGAGCCCGAGCAGAGTTGAGTCGGGGAGGCTGTGGGGGGCGTCACATCCCGCACTTCTTCCGGACTCCGCCGCGCACCCGGAGGGCGCGCGTTCCCAGGGGAGCCACAACCGCCCTGGGGGAACCTGAGGCGAGCCTGGGTGGGGGGGCTTCCCTGGAGACTACAAGTTTCCACCCACCTCCAAGCTGGAGACACGCTCTGCTCCCTCCTTTGAAGGCACCGCCGCCGATTCCCTCCCTCAGGGCGGGAGCAGACAACTGCCTCTCCTCCCCGCGCCCGCGCCCTGCTCAAGCTGTCCGTGGGCTGGGGCCCGCGACCCCCGCACTACGCCCCCACCTCGCCAGAGACAGCCCCCCAAAGTTGTCCCGACCTCGCAGACCTCCCCTTCTCCTCCGTCCCTGGACCCCGCCCAGGGTTGGGCCGGCGTCTGCAGGTGGAGCCTCTCGGGGAGCAGGGAGCTCACTTCGGGGATCCCGGGCGCACAGAGGCCGGCGGAGCTGCAGCAAGGGAGGGCGTGCAAATCTAGCCTGAGCCCGGGTCCCCGCGCTCGCACCCGTAAGACCGCCCTGCCTCCCTCCTCAGAGAGGAGGAAACTTCCCCAGCACCCACCTTTAGCGGCGAGGAGGCGGCGCCGCCGGCTGCCCCCGCCGCCGCCGCCGCTGCCGCTCCCCACGCCCAGCGCCAGCAGGAGCGGCACCCAGCACAGCCTCCCGGTCAGCATCCTCGCCACCGCCGCCGCCGAGCTGCCGCTGCCGCCTGCTGCCCGCACCGGCTCTCGCCTCCCAGCGCCCGCCGGGCCGCGGCCGCCTCGCTTTGCCTGCTGGGTGCGCTTCGGGCGCCGCCGCGCTCGGCCTCCGCTGCCCGCCGCCGAGCCGCTCGCTCGCTCGCTCGCTCGCTCACCGCCAGCAGCCGCGCTCACTGGCGCGGACCCGGAGCGGCTCCGGCGCTCACCCCGGGACGGCCCGTGACGTCACGGAGGGAGGGAGGAGGCTCCTGCATATTCATGAGACGCGGACACCGGCCCGGCTTGCGAGCTCCCGGCTCCGCGGCCCCGACCCCCAACTTTCCTCCAGTGTCCTCCCGCTCCTGGGCGCTGGTTCTCCAGGCAGGACTCGGCTCCCAGAGGACCGCTGCGGGCGGCTGCGGGGAGCCCTGCCGCCAGCGCCCGCGTTCCGTCTCCCCAAATGACTGTCTCAGGGGATGGCAGGCCCCCTCACCAAGTGGTCACCTGGAGCCTGCGAGTCCTCTACTGGGCGCAGGGGACCCTGCCCTGCCACGCCCTTGGAACGGACACCCGTGCCGAGGGGCTGGCACGCGAGCTGCGGGTGCTGCCCTTGGCCAGGCATCTGGACGCTCGCTGCAGCCTGGTCTGGGGAGGGCGCCAGGCACACGCGAGAGCTGGAGAGCGTGAGTGTTGCTCTGGACCTGCCAGGCGGGGTATATCTCAGTGGACCCGGAGGGCAATGGCCAGACTCCGCACCATCTTGGGGTGGCAGGTGCAGCTGTGGCTCTCAGAGGCTGATGGACCGGATCCGAAAAGCAAACTTGGCGCTCTGGGCCTGCAGAGGCAGCAGTGGGGACATAAACTTCTCTGCAGTATGGTACCTAAGCAAGAAGTTACCACCTTTCTGTGGTCACTCCTGCATATCTGAGACCAGGCCACCTGACATGCCTTGCAACATTTCATGCCGCTGAGTAATTGTCAGTTCTCTGAGAGTAGGGGCCATAAACGTCTTGATGATCCCCCACCATCCCAAGGGCAGGCAAGGTTCATAAAAGTACTCAATTAAATCAACTCATGGCTCAGAATAAATCTTGACCATATTTGAGTACACGCAGTGACAACATCACACACAATTCCAGGTTCATAAGGAATAAAGAAGGGGACTTGGGTGGCTCCTCCATGGGATAAGCAACTGACTTTGGCTCAGGTCATGATCTGGCGGTTTGTGCATTGGAATCCCACATGAGGCTCTCTGCTGTCAGCCCAGAATCAGCTTGGGATCCCTGTCCCTCTCTCTCTCTCTGCCCCTCCCCCACTCACTTTCTCCCTCAAAAATAAACACACATTTAAAAAGGAATAAAGAAATAAGATAGAGAAATAGAGAAACAGAAGTTACTTATTTATTGATTCCACACATTTACTGAGCACCCAGACGGGTTGTATTGCCCCGCCACTGGGCACTGGATTAGGTACTGGAGATCAAATGACCAAAAAGAGTTGTCTGTCCTCTTCTCACAGCTTTGTTTCCCATGTGAGAAGCAAGAGAGGGCAGTAAAAGGCAATTACAATGCTTTGTAAATGTTATGGTCCTGCACATTCTTTATGTTACTAGATATGAGCCTATACAAATCAATTAACAAAATGTATATATTGCAAGTGTCTAAACAGCATCCTATAATTAATAACTGTTGTTTGGGGTGCTCGAGAAAGCCATAAAATGCATTAACAGCTCTCACGCTGCTCAGCCTTTCTGCACCACCCTGGCAGCTCACCCAGAGCTGCTGCAGTGGTGAAGGCCAACTCTTCTGCATTTTCAGGCTCAAAGAGGTGCTTAGGAGTAGTTGGGGGAGGGGGCAGCAGTGAAGGTTGGTGGCTGCAGTAAGGCTCAGACCAGGCATGGCCTTCAACTGTAGGTCTCCTCTAACCTACACAACCAATATCTGTGCCATTATTCTCATTTCACACATAAGGAAAGAGAGGCTAAGGTAAGTTAGGTAACTTCCTTGCCCAAGATCAAAAGGGTAATAAATGCCTAGGCCAAAATCAGAATCTTGCCTTTTTCAGACTTGGTGTCCAAATTTAGAAAGGATGGCACAGAGAAGGGGAAGTGGACCCAGACAAAATCAAGGAAATCAGCATATGCAGGAGGAATATAAATTTGTCTCATTTTCTTCCATTTGTACTCCATCCAATTACATATCTGCCTCTCCTTCACTTCCTCTAGCCATTAGACTTACCTTAGTAACTTACCTGTACTGTTCCTTGATATCATTCTACAGGGTTTCATTCGGACCAGTTGGTCAGTCCCGAAAATTTTACATGAAATTTCAAATGCAGGCTAAATAATGATAAAGAAGAGGAAATGCAGCGGATTGGAAACATCCCCTCCCCATACAGTAGATCACCAAGAAAGAACACAACAGAGAGATACCAGGAAGCAGCCAGTGACCAAGGGACGCAGTACTGCTAGCCTCCATCTCCTCCTCTACAGGTGGGGGTAATAATGATGCCTTTTGCAGGAGATGAAGTGCACTAATGGCCCCATTTGTTCATGTTTCCCTAAACCCATTCCCTTTGGATATAGTCTCTGACCTCAATTTACAGGTTGGCAATATGACTTGCTTTGGCCTATAGGACAGTAACATGCCTGTTTCCATTTTCTTTCTTGGGCCCCTGCCACTGCTATATTGCCATATAAGCCCAGGGTAACCTGCAGGAGGTCGAGAAACACAAGGAGCAGAGCTGAGCTGTTCAGGCACCCAAGGCCAGCCAAGGCTGGTCAGCAACAATTGACCCACCAACCGACCAAAGATGCATGAACAAACCCAGCAAGATCACCCAAACCTGGCCCACATCAGAACTGCCCAGCTGACTCATGAAAAATAATAAATGGTTGTTGTATTAAGCCACTATGTTTGGGGAGGAGTTGATTAAAAAGCATTACACCTACTTCATAAGGTCATTCCAAAAAGTAAATGAGAAAATGTATGTGAAATATGCAGTATGTTGCCTGCCACGTGGTCAATGTCCAATAAATATAAAACTGTCCCCCTCTTAAACCTGTTTCCCAAGTCTCAGAAATGCCGCTCATAACTTTCGGTTGGGAGAAAGGCATCAACTTTGCTGAGGAGATGACAATGAGTAATTTCGGCCTTGGACATGCTCAAACCACAAGAGCTTCATGTCCACATCATCTGTGTGCTTTTTCTGGGCCCTTATAGATGCAGAAAGTGGGTCTAGCATCCCCATAGTTAATGTGTCACTTGGTGCCAGGCTTTACAATTGGGGTTTTACATTCCACATTTCATTTAATCCTTACAACAGCAGGTATTATTTTCCCCAGTTTTATTATAACCAGATTACTGGCTTAGAAAGTTTGAGTAACTTATCCATATTCACATAATTTGCAGAATATAAATTCATGTCTGCCTAATTCCAAATCCCATCTTTCTCCCATACACCATTGTTTTGTAGGAAAAATAAGCAATGAAAAATAGTTTCACATGAGAAAAGGTAGCTTTGGCGATTTGATTTTTTTAAATCTTTATCCACCATCACCTCCGAGTAATAAATAACCAATTATCACCAAAGTAGTAATACAAATCTCCCAATTTGTTGAGGCCGTACCCTTTATTTTTGACTTGCTATTGGCTGATGTTCCTTTAAGACCATGCTCAAAAGATAGTGAGCAGGATGATGTAAGACCTTGGTCACTTTATGCCCTGAGCCCAGGGTCCCACCTGGCCGTGCAGTAATGAATCTCAGACAATTTATTTGGGTCAATAGTTTTTAATAAATAAATAACTCTCCTGTTTCAGAAAATAGAATCTAACAGGAACAGGCCTGACATAAGCAGAGCCAAACCTCTCATTTTTACCAGGGTCATTAATGCCTTGCCCAATTAAGCACCAAAACACAGTCCCTGAATAATTTAAACTGGATAAGTGAAAAAAAATAAATAAATTATAGCAGCTTTTAGAAACTTATTTTTAAGAAGAAAATTAAGCAGAAGCTTTCTACAGGACCCAGACTGTAGAAGTGAAATCAATTCAAAGGATTTAACTTTAAAAGAAAGGTTGAAAATCTGATCCTTGAAGAACTGGAGCCATTCACTGTGCCCCTCCCCCATCTTGGCTGGCAAAGCCAGGTCTTCATGACCCACAAGCAATTGGAGAGGTGACAGAATTTTCGACATCTCTCAGATGTTTTGATGCTAGTGCAGACACTGCTGCTGCCAAAGATTTTTAAAGTTTAGGCATTTCTCTTCAGGAAAAAGCAAGACAATCTTGTTCGTGACCAAATCCAGTTCATGTTCAACACGGTTTAGACATGAGTGTTTTATGCTTGGCAAGGCAGAGTGCCTCAACTAAAAACAAATATGTCATTGATTATAGCAAGGAATTATACCAGTATGTTCTCCTGTACTTCCCTTGGACCTGTTTACCCTGTGGTGGTTTAAGAAACCAAACAAAAAACAAAAAACAGAAGCCATTCTTCTCCCATTGAGGGATAGAATCTATTGCTTCTGTCCTTGAATCTGAGCAGACTTGTGACTGCTTCTTCCTATAGAATTCGGCAGGAGTGAGGCTGTGTGACTTCCCAGTCTAGATCATAAAGGCAAAGCAGCTTCTGCCTTTCTCACGAGGATGCTCACTTTTGGAGCCTGGAGCCTCCAGGTGCAAAGTCCAACTACCCTGAGGCTGCCGTATTATGAGGATCTCAGGCCACATACAGGTGTGCTGATAACCCCAGCTGATTCCAACATTTGAGTCCTCCCAGAACCTTCAGATAATTTCATTTCTTAGCTGCTGACTCACTTCCGGCAGTTTGGATATCCTCAGCTGAAGCCTCAGACATCATGCAACAGGGTGAAGCCTTTTCCACTATGCCCTGCCTAAATTTGTGACCCACAAAATCCGTGAGTGCAATAAAATGGTTGTTTATGCCACTAAGTGTTGGGGTGGGTTTATAATGCAACATGAGTAACTGGAACATATTTTCATTTGTTCCCTGCAACAAAGACTGAGGAAACAAAAGTATGCTGACATAAGTCATGTGTGATTAGTTCCATTTTGTAACTCAAATGTGAGGTATTTTAGAGGTAAAGAAGAGGA